CAGGGTCATGCAGGGAAGCAAGCCATCAAACCACGTCTCGTTGTGATAATTCTCCGATTAAAGGATTACAGATTACGTTGAATAAGTGAGAGTACGACTCATCAAAGTTGTTAGAAGCGGCGTATATATCAAAGAACACTAAACGGAATATATGTTATGCAGCACGAAATATCGACATCGAATGAATAGCTACAAGACCATATAAAGCCTTGGCAAACAGCACTGGAAATACTCATGAGAACTGTCGTCTACCTGGGCCTACTTCTCGCGCTTTCAAAGTACGAACAACTGCTTCACAGTAGAGCCGAAGGATCAGGAACTGCCAGTGGTTGATTAATTTAAATACAGAAATCACCATGATCAGTGATAAAAATACAGCAAGAAAAAGATAATATACATAGTTGAGACTCAAGTGATATACGATAAGCCAAAACGCGGGCGACATTCACACGATATTATGATCACTTGAGTCTGGGCGTGGAAACCGTTCGATTTACCATGTTCGAGTAGTTAGAAACAAATAGGAGGGAGTAAGTAGTAGAGGAATAACGTGGCAAAATGTAAGTTTGTATTTCGGCAGAAAATGTGTTGCTATGCTAAGGCAACGTGGATAGACTTGCACATAAAACACGTACTGTTAAACATGCCCAGTAATCGGTTATAGCAATGTAAAGTCTGTTCCAGACGAAATATACACTAGAAAGACCGAAATCTTGACCGCAGTACGCGAATGTAGGGTTAACGGCTAGTTAAACTAAGACTATGATTGAGATCGGCATGAGGATGATAAAACAGGGAGTGGAAACAAATTATAATGAGTATGCGTCATTGTGAAACAGGTTGTCCTCCAGTAAAATAAAAGTGAATTTGAGGACTGTCGCAGAAGTGCGGGTCATAGTGTACGTAGTGGACAACATATTTCTTACCTTCCGGAGGAATTGTTCGTTGTGCTGTGCACGTGGTTCGCATTCGAGCTTGGCAGACCACGCTGAGCCAAATAGTCCTGAGATTCACCACTACGACCTGAGCCCATCATCAGGGATTGATAATTACATCCATGGGGACCGGCTGAAGTGGGACTGTTGACGAGATTTGGTGTGCCGCCAAGAGTGTGATTCTCAGCCGTCTAAAAAGAGGCAAAAGCATGGGATATTTGGAGGCACCGATGAAAACCGTGACACAAACCTATTATAAACAGAATAGTGATGCATGTTTGAGCTGATGAGCGTTATATTGGGGTCAGTTTCACTTTATTCGGGTTGCAAATGTACAAATTATACTAATAAAATGATTGGAGGGTCCTGGAAGTCCGATTATTAAAACTAGTTCGATGAAGCCAACATAACTTCCTGAATGTATCCACCGGAAAAAAATGCAAACAAATGCAAATAGTCACCATATTTTAACCGAGATTTTGACTAGAAATCCATTTGAGTTTCACTCGCTAATGTGAGCAAAATCAAAGAGTGAGGACATACACAAGTTATAACCGTATTTTGTTCATCAGAAGCTTTCCTGCTGTGCACTCAAAATGAGACTTATCCAGTTGGGAATTATCTAACCGTCGATCTTTTGGAGACCCTAGGATGCTAAAGGTTTATGACCTGCGAGGTTGTACAGTACTGGGTACGCCCGAAGGTTGTGAACAAGACAGCGGACAACTGAGTAATGAGTCCTATGTAGGTGGGTAGGGGTCCTTGAAAAAGCGGTCGCGGACGATTAGCCTCTAGCCTTTATCAGTTAAGCGATAACTGCAATAAAAAGCCAACTCAAGAACTCGGTCTATCATTAAACAAGACCAGCTCCACTGCACTATTGTTCGACAAATTGCTCCAAACTGTGCAAGGGATAAAAATGCCTCCTCTAAGAAAAAAAACTGACGACTACTGGGGATGCCGCTTTGTACCACATACCCAAGATTCGTATTGGAAGAATCTATGAAGCCAACTTATCCCCATGTAGAAAAAGTCAGTCGGTATGGAGCACAAGTCAAAATAATATTATTCATTTCACACCCATTTATTTGATATACACGTGCTTAAATCATGGTATTGGATGCATGGGAACTTACCATGAAAAACCGACGACAACATTTCACACAAAGGTAAATGCGAGCTTGACACAAATGTCATGGCAGTGGGACAGGTAACGAAAAGTTCCAGTGTGCATTCGAATGCATTTTTCGTCTACACATGCATTCCAAGGTAATTTGTGATAAAACTGTCGATATATTCACACGAAGAAAGCGAGTAAAATAGCATGTAGCGTGCGTTGGTATCCATGATTCATATAATCAAAGAGAAACAAAAGAGGGGAAAAGCATTAAAGTACCGAGAGTTGGGATGGTCAAGCGGCTAAGGTAATCACCACAACGAATCGCTTCTTTTTTTTACTGCATTTGTACTTCTCTAGGCAGCCTTTGATTGTTTAACCTCTCCTTCTAGGAAATTTTATGTTCGATTACATATTCAATCAATAAAAAAGAATTAAACGATTATTATTATAAATTAATGACAACTCACCTCACGCAAGCTGACACAGGGGGGATGTGCACCGCCACTAGTGGGGACGGTATTCTCACTCATCAGTATGCGCCCACTTGGACCAAAATCATCGCTGGATGCGCCACGCTGTAACGCAGCCGCAGTTACTGTCTCAGTGGCCAAATGCTGACGGGGTTGCTTCTGGGGTGGGGGGACAAGCAGAGCAGCAAGGCTGTTGGGAGCTTGTGCACCGCCAGCCGAAGTAGCACCATCGTCACCAACCATCATCGGTTCACTGCTACCGTGGTGATGTGATTGGGGCTGTTGCTGCGACTGTTGACCACGCATTAAATGAGGATGAGGCATGCCAGATTGTTGATAGGAATGATGCATCGAGGAATAGCCGGAACTATGATGATGGTGATGACCGAAACGAGAACCAGTTGAGGAGTAATGGTCTCCTTGTTCACCCATGCTTCGATGCAAACTGGAAATGGAACCATTACCGCTGGCGTTGGCATTCCGAGGAACCATGATTGGTGGGAGAACTGCAGATTTTCAAAAAAATTATGCTTATCAATGTGAAGTGAAGCAAAACGACAAAGGAACTTATACGGGACAGCAAATATTTGAAACCTAGGATATAGATGGTTCAACAGATGAGACGTGAGTTTTCCCAAATGTGATCATACTGTCACCTTTTACGGTCTCATGCGCTTACAAAATTCGATTGATCAGCAGCAGAAGGAGGATCCATAAGGGAGATAGAATGAAGCGAACTTCGCTAATCGCCGAGAAGCTCATGATGATGTAAACAAAATAAGTGAGAAGGTAGATAGATACAGATTGGGCCTACTTGAAAAGAGGCAAAGAAAGTGAACCCCTACGATAAGCATGCAGAGTATACAACGTAACTGTGCATACATATGTCCTAGTACTCGGACTTGATAAGAAGTGACAACAGGAAATCTGTTGTCGGTTAGTTGCCATATCCTTCAGGACCTTCAATCAATCAGTTAAGGTCTTATGGACTCAAACCTAGAAGACAAGAGACACCCTACCTAGTCTCTCTGTGCACTTCGTTATACCTCGTTTCCACGTCATCCGTTGACCTATAACCTACAGCAGCAACTGGAAACAAGGCGCGGTGTGATAGATGATAGTGAGGCATGCGCAATACGAGTTCCAACCAGCACACTAATCTGAGTCCTATGTGATGGCAAATTCTCCATCGAATCATTACCAACAGATCATAACCCCGATTCGCGAAGGCTTAATTCCTAGAACAATAAATCATTCATTATGTAACCATAAGTTTTCATGCAGTATGCTGAAAATTATATAAACACTGCGCAACTATTTTCACTTTTCAGGAACCGCCAATAGTGTATCTCCACCGATGCTGTGACGGTGCAAAACTACGCACTCGGGATTTCTCACAAACATTAGTAGTGAAATGGAGTACTGAGTGTCAGAAGATGAACGTGATATCGCTCACGCACCATTCGAAGCGCATATCCATCACTGTATGATGAATATCAATACTGCGTACGAGATGGGATTTCAAACACGTATCTCAGTAGCCGCTCACAAAGATTAAGTAGTCATTGTCACGTGTTCGATGAAGATGCACTGTTAATAACCACCAAATAAACAAGTGTAAGATGGTATCAGAACGAATAAAGGCAAATTAATCCGCAATCAGAAAAATCGTTGTTGAATTGCTTAGATAAAGGATAATGGATTTCGATAAGTGGACGGACGGATGGAAATTCGGTAAATAAATCAATAGAAACAGATGTCATAAAAGTTCGTGGATAAAACGATTGAAGCGGAATACGATTAAAAAATGTAATAATTTGATGATACCGCCACATGAGAAAATCATAAAAGAGATGAACGATAGATAGTATGAACGCGGGAGAAGACTGACGAGGATCAGTGCCTAATGAAACCACGAATGCACACACACACACACACACACACACACACACACACACACACACACACAC